GGTTTCACTTAAATAACTTATTATTAGATGCATGGTTGCTTAATATTTTTTCTATTTATGAACAACCCTTAAATATATTACTCCCTTGTCATATTTGTTATTTAATAATCCGTGAAGCATTACCTTTTTCTACCAGCTGTATGCCATTTCTTGTACTTGTTTCATATGTATAGGATATCCATGACTAACTCTTGGATATAACTTCAAATATTATATGTTTCATTAGTTCCAGTGAGGATCTCAATCATTTCAATATTTTTAGTAGTTTGCTCCTTTATTAGACCAATACAGAAAGCCATTACTTGATATAGTTATGGAATGCTTAGCCGATAAATTTCTAGTCATGGCTTCTAAAAAACACTTTGTGCATCACAACTTTAAATGTACTGGGATTATGGATCTGTCTTTCTCAGTGTTCTAAAAAGCGAGTCTGGGTGCTGCCTAAGTGCCTAGACACGAGGCGCGGGTGAAATGTCACGCCTTGACAGTAAACACGAAATTAAGCTGTCACCTGCCAAGTTAACCACTCAATGCTCGACTAGGGGTGTCTAAGCGCGCCTTATTAATTTTTTTTCCTTTTTTGAAAAGCCTTTTATTTGACTTTTATTTATTTTATTTTTTATCCTTTTTAAAAGCCTTTTATTTGACTTAGTTTCTAGTTTTTAAATGACTTTATCTATATAAAAGTAAAAAATGACTTTATACGATAAAGAGTTGGATAAAATTTAAGTTAGGATGCTATCTACATTATATAATTATGATTTTGAGGCTCATCGTTTTGTTGAAAACTTCGAAAACATTTATGAAATTCATATAAATCTATTAAGTAGAACTTGTCTATTTGAAATTGCGAAAATAGTCTCCCTTTTGCATTTCGAAAATTAGAAAATTGTATAATTAACTAATTTTAAGAATAATTTAGTAAATATAATATTTTATGATTGTAGATGTTTGGTATGTATTATTTTAATAATTGAATAATTTTTATAATGGTTAAAAATTTAAAGTAATATTAAAAATTAGAAAACATTTTTTACTCCAATGCCTTGCTTAAGCTTTTAAAACTTGAAGTTTGGTCTCCACGCCTAGCCACGCTTTACATGTTTTTAGAACATTGGCCGTTCCCTTCATTGCATGTTTTTCAGGAACCTAAGTGGTTCTTGCTTTTCAAGTTGGTATGTGTAAAAATTTACTCCACACCAATAATGATGTATAATTGAATCCAAGGGTTTACATCATATAGGATCTTGTGATGATTTTCCAGAAATTTTGAAGCCACGTTAGAACATATATCTAATAACAATGGGTGGCATTTGGTAATGATTTTCTTCCACAGGAGGGCATCAATGTCTTTCTTGGTCTACTAGAATCAAGATAGCCGTTGATACTGCTAGAGGCCTTTCTTTTTTGCATGATGCTAAAAACAAAGTGATACATCGAAATTTGAAGCCTTCTAGCATTCTTTTGGATGAGGTTTGTTCCTTGGATAACTATTTTTTTTTTGTATTGGTTTCACCTAAGGTAGTTGTTTGCATAGAAAAAGTAATATCTTGTTACATTATGGGGCAGGATTTTAATGCGAAGTTGTCCGGCTTCATTCTCGCTAAAGATGGGCCACCTGATGATAAGACTCATGTGTCCACTCGAGTTATGGGTACATGTGGCTACATTGCACCGGAATACCTTGCTACAGGTTTGGCACGATAAAATATTAATTCTCTGCTCCTTTTTCACTTCAAAATCATATTATCATTAATGTAGCCATATTAAACTCCTTGTTGATGAACAGGCCATCTGACGGAAAAGTGTGATGTATATAGCTTTGGAGTTGTTTTGCAAGAATTATTATCTGGCCGTTGGGGTTTTGAAATATCTGTTGATGAAGAACAGGTTCTAGTGGATTGGACAAGATCATATTTGTCTAAGAAGAAAGAAGTGAATCGAGTGGTAGACCCCAAATTGGAAGGCCAGTACCCTCTGGAAGGAGCAGTTATAGTTTCAAATCTTGCTTTGCAGTGCGTAAGTGATAATCCCAGAAGCAGGCCG